AAATACTATGTGTTAGATCAACTGTTAATTTCTTCAATTGGTTTCGTAGTTTTATGTAGCTAAAAACCAAAAATTTAAAAAAAAACAAAAAAAAACACGTTCATATGATCATCTTCATGGTATTATCAATAACAAAACCATGGTTGACTACATTTTCTGATAGTGTATAAAAAGAGTCGATGGCTATGTTACGAAAAGACCTTACAAATATTTATTCACGTTTCATAAGTGAAAATTTACTCTTGGAAGAATATTTTTGTATGAAATAGTGGAAAATTAGTAAAATAGAATAGAGTGGAGTGAACATCAAATCAATCAATCAATCATTCAATCAAGGCATACGACCTTGATAAATGCACTGATGGCGTTTCATACTATACAAAGTTCGCTACGTTAAAATGGCGGTTAAGGAGTTGCTGACAGAGCTCCTCACAAGTCCTGTAAATCTCGTTCTTTTAGCGACATGCTTCTATCTTTTATACAAAATACTATTTGGAAATGCACCAAGGGTACCAGATGGACCAAAAGAACCCGTACTAGAAAAGATGAAAAAGAGGGACATGACTTTAAAAGAACTCAGCGAGTACGATGGTACGAAACATGACGGTAGGATCCTTGTCGCGGTGAATGGCAAGGTTTTCGACGTTACGCGTGGGAAACGATTTTATGGCCCAGGTAAGACCTCGTAGGCTAGGCCTAGGCCTAGAATTTTGTAATAAAAGACTAGTGATCAGTAAAATAGTATTCTTTTTAAAGGAATTTTGTTGCTATAATTATGTGTGTTAAATATCAATTATTGCCTGTTAAAACATATTTTTACTCAGGTTGCATAGAGAGAGGCCCCGGGCCCTACTTAGAGTAGTAGTAGCTACAGTAAGTAGTAGGCCTAGGCCCCCTAGGGCCTAAATAGTGAAGTTTTCTCTGCTGGAGAAGACAGAGTTTGTGTGAGACTGGACTGGGTGGTGGTTGGTGGGTTACCTACTGCTAGCTACACTTGTCTTACTTTGCACAGACCCTAACTAGGCCTAGACCAGACTATAGACTTAAATAATATAAATTTATATGGTTTTAAGTTGTAAAGTTTTACAATAGGCCCTATTTGAATGATTGAAAAGTATTATGATGGGCTGCTGTTATTTTTTCCATGAAATGCCATGATTGAGAAATAAATATGAACCAGCATTCCAGAAGAAGCAAGGTCTGTGTGAGAAATATATTCTCCATGCAAGTTAGGCTAGATAGAAATCCGTCTGCGCACTTCCGAAAACAAGGGCACATTTCCACACAGATTGTGCCAAAGATTACAGTAGGTATTGACCTAACCACCGTATTATTATGGAGTAATTTTATTTTCCGCACAAAACTAGATTTTGATGCATCATCTCCACAATTCAAATACTTTAATGTATGGCCAGCATTGGGCTTAATGCTAACCAAATCAGTTAATAAGATCATCATCATCATCATCATCATTTCAGCCCACTGCAGGGCGAAGGCCTCCCCAAGCTGAAACCATCCACATCTGTCCTGTGCAGCTCTCATCCAGGAAATTCCAGCAAATCTCACAATATCATCCCTCCACCTGATTTTAGGTCTTCCTCGACCTCATGTGCCTATTCGGGGAGTCCATTCAGTTGTTAGCTTCGTTGTGAATTGCGATTGGGTGTCGCAGTTGTTGCAACCGATCGCAATGCGACGCTACTGTAAGATTGGATATTAGTGTACAGCCCTACACAAGCAGTTTCACGTGTCAACCTTCAAAACAATTTCTTCAAAGTGATAGTACCAACTACCAGAGAACATTAAAATGCTGAAATTTCCAATAACTTCTAATGTATCCATGTAGTATACTTGTGTACAGACTAGCTGGTAGTAAAATAGTATTAAATGTACTGGTCTAGACACTCTAGTGTGAGCAGGCATTCTGTTATATTTAGAATCACATAGATGCATATATATAAATGAAAATCATTACTGGGAGATCAAAACTACAATCTATACAGTACCTCCATTCCTGTGCCTCGATCTCTTTAATTTTAATACTACAGGCATCTTAAAGGCAATAACAAAAATTTACCATAAAGCAATAATTATTAAGAAGCAGAATCTTCACACACACAATGATACAAAAGACATTGAAATTATATGCAATTTACTTTTAAACTTTTTTATTTTTAAAAGCACTTATTTTAATATTTGTTTTGGTGAAATTTATAGATGGTATTTGATGTATTCATTATAATGATTTAATCAGTGTATTAGTATGCTATTCATGTTCTATGTTTAAAAAGCAGAGTAGCACTGTACTGTATGTTAACTGTAAACAAGGCTATTTTTAGAATTAATCAGTCGCTCTCATACTTCCATTACTTGTACCTTTAAAATGTCATGCATAATATATTGTAATGTTTAACAAGGTTGTGTCAATAGTGATTTCGAATGTGTTTAATTTCTATTGTATTATCTGTAAGCGATATCACATGTGATGCAGTTTTATTATTAAGTAAACAATTTAAGTAAATTTTCTCTGAAGAACTGATGAAAATGAAAGGCTATTAAAATACACTTTGATTGTAAATGTATTGGTTGTTTTCAAGGCCTTCGATTCCAAGGCCTGTGTAGGTCTTGCCCCTTTCTATTTTAGTGAACTAGTGGTATAGTCCACTAAGTTTTCTGCAGAATTCCCTAGTTAGTAATGCTATTTCATGAGCATGCTGGCCTAGGCTGCAGTAGGTTGCACTAAATATTAGAACACAGAACAGAGGCAAATGTTTCAGTATATCAAACATTTAGCCCATTAATAGTAGGAGTATAATTTTCTCGATTATTCAGAAATTTCTATCCTTTCTTGTTTGTAGTTAGTTTTTAGGAAGTGATGGCACTATATAATAATAATAATAATAATAATAATAAATATAATGCAATAAAACTTATAAAGCACATATTAAAGTAAAAAGTAACTTGCCACCAGCGCTAGGAGAAAAATTGAAAAACAGCAGAAGAAGAATCCCATGAACTGATTAGTGAAAAATTACAAAAATAGGTAGGTTTTAAGTTGAGTTAAAAATAACCGAGGACAAGTGGTATTATGAAGATTAGCAGGGAGCGAATTCCAAATTGTAGTAACTGAGAAAACGAAAGATCGCTAGCTAGGACGTACATGTCTGACACGTGGAACACTTCATGGCAAGGCTGTCTAATACGTGTCTAATATACAGTATAATACACAATAAATCAATTAATCAATCGTTGGCATATTATGAAGCACCAAAGCCTGCCAGTGGTGCAGTAACATTTTCTGTAGGGTCGTGTTACTTTTCGTCCAAGTGTTAATTTTACCGTGTTTGTTTTATTTCATGTCTGTGGCTTGCCCGAGTTGGTTAAAATTTTCGCCAAGAGTGGGTTTGGCTTGGGAGTGTTGATGTTCTGCCTCTTAAATTACATACCGTATGCCAAAACCACAGGTTCTAACCTCAAAACAGGTTTATATAGCACACAATTATCTCCGTCTCTGTTATCAAAGTCATCCATTCAAACATCAAGGCCATTAGTCCTTCCGAAAAGACTCCCAGTGTATAAACTTCCCATTACGCCTTTTAATTTTCACTGGGATTATCTCCTGATTTGATGACACCATTAAACTCTTATGGTTTGTAAACAGAACATTGAGAAGTCAAGGCCATTAGAAAGATTTAATTACTTCCTAATTAGCATGAACCTTTTGCAACAGTGTATAAATATATTAATTTGATTTACTGTATGATCTGTTTATGTCATTATTGTTTTGTACATAAAAAGTACACTTTCTTCATTATTAATAAGGCCAGTATATGTTAAGACATTCTTATAATTTTCATGGGTTTTCCACATGTTTTTTTTTTTCATTGTAAGACTTTTAGTTTGTGGTGTAAAATTGTACTATAATTGTTGATTTAACTTGTCATTTACACAAACCTTTGAGCAGGGAGGTGAGTACCATATACCTTAGTGATATGAACTTTTAAATTCAATGTAGGCCTACAGTGTCTATGCATATCGTAGGCTTAGCCAACGAGCCGTCCGGTCGTCATTTGGATGGCATACAATTATTTAGGACGGCCACTATTACCGTGACGGGTTGGACGGCTTGGCCTAATTAGCTCAGCCAGCCTAATTGGGCCTGGTCTACTTTTAGCAAATTCTTTATATTCTTCAAATCTATCCAATGTTACATTAAACTAAAGCTAAATCATATTTACGTTTGATAAAAACCTTTATTGATTCAATGTATGTTGTTTTCGTACCAGTATTCGGTGGGGATTCCCATGGGCGTGGCCCATCCATCGGCTCAGTGCCACGCCCACTGGCTTCAATTTTGGACGCCCTATATCGTTTTCTGGCTAAACCCCTGATGCATATACAGTTAAATTCTGATAATTGGAATTGAAACAAGTTGGTTTTCATTTCTGATAATAATAATAATGATAAGTGGAATTTGTAAATTAGATATAGATGTAATACAGAGGTCTCTATGTGATAAGTACATTTTACTACAAAATCTAATTAGCATTAGGAATTAAGAACAATAAGGTACTCATTCATACCCTATTCCATGTGTATACCTTTCACAGATGTTAACATACAGCCTAGGGACTCCTCACCAACTTTGTTTAAACTATCTAAATGGCTTTAATTTTAACTTTATACAATTGTTTTGAAGCCTTTTTCTTATTCTGATTGTGGAATGATTACTTGGCCTAACTTGTATTTTACAGGTGGATACAGGTTCAAGAAAATATAACTTGATCATTTGATCAACAGTAATTTATTGATGTGGTAACATATTAGGTGTGTGAGTGATTTATTAATAATTAATATAACATTCCAGTTACTAATTATGTTATATGGTAAATAATTTAAATATTATATGGTTACATATTTTTGGTACCTGGGAAAAGTTAAACTTAATACTACTGTACCTAAATTTCAAGTACTGTAATTGATCATTAATTAACTACAGTCAGCTTTTTCACTATCATCTGCAAAAAAAACAAAAAAAACCAAAAAAGATTTACATTACATGTTTGACAGATGTGGGGAGAGTACTCGTAAAACAGTATAATAAAAGAAGAGTACAACAACACTTTTAGATAGAGCAGTTTAGCTCAGTCAGCTAATCTGGTGGTAGCCACTGTGTGTGTGCTGAACCGTGGAGATCTCTAGGTCACCGGTTCCATTCCCATCGCTGCCTCTTCTTGTGTTTCAGCCGAAGGACTAAAATACAAGTTGAAAAAGCTCCCGTCTTTCAGATGAGACGTTTAAGCCGTTGGTCCTGTGTGCACTGATGGCCCATGTGCATGTTAAAGAACGCAGTACACTCTTGGGAAAAGAGTAGTAGGGGATTGTCTCCCGGTGTGCTGCCCAATCACCACCAGAAGGACCCCACTGGAAATAAGTCTTCTTCTAGACTTTCGTGAGCTATCCTGTGTGTTTACACAGAGTAAGTCCAATCCAATCCAATCTTTTCATCTCCCCCTCCCAACTCAACCCTTCCCCCAATGCTTTGTTAGGCCTGGAAAAAAAATTTGTGCCTCCAACCACGAATTGTCTTGATAAAATGCCTTCACCATCAAATGTTATACACTACAGTATCTAACCCAAAAGTATATTTTATAATTTTTTTTTTCCACAAGATGATGCCTCCGACAAGCAGCAGTGCGGTCATGCACTTTTTCCAGGCCTGTGCTTTGTACTAAAGTTGTAAAAATGTTGAAAAAATTGGGGGTTTATCAACCTAATAGTTTACTGAAATAAACCAGTTCCAAGTTCCAACTTTAAGGTCTATCTCAATGTCAAGGTTTTCAACACACATTAGCAGTTTATAAAAATGTGTTTATCTGCCAAATGATTTAGGTGAAGGTTCATGCATGATCGTGCTGACGGTTACATCATCATACTTATTGATTTCGACAACATTTATCACACCATGTCGTACCATGTCCTGGGGTTAAGTATAATTGAGTATGTTTTGATGTCTTATCACTAAGTCTGTGCTTACTCAATGTGGGCTTCCCTGATTGGCTGAGTTTCAACCAATGAATTTGATACCAGTGGAAAGTAAAGTCAAAAACATGGTACTTGTATAACATACTGTTGTGAGTTATAATGTGAATTTAATCAATATTGTGAATGGAAAACATTAATTAATGAGTAGTAATTATTTGATTCTCTGCTAAATTGTTTTCAGGCTTTATTTATAGGCATATTGATAATATGGATTTTTTGATGGTTTCTTGCTCTGTATCTGGATTTTCTGGGTTTTTTTATGGGATTTTTCCCCATCCTGTATTTTGGTTGGTTGCATGCAAAGTGAAGTGGGTCAAAACCTTTACTGCATGTGGTGTATTGAGTACCATAAAGACCGCCTCCTCCCTAGTATGGGGATTTCAAAAGGGAACTGTGTTTCATAATTCAGAATTAATTTGTCTAAAGTTCAAGTGCGTAGTTTACACACATAACTTGTACCCAAATAAGCATACATTATAAAAATAGATCCCTGCAGGGTTTAAATACCTATGCCAGTACACTTTGGCATACATCCCATTGGGAAAGCAGAGATAGAGAAATTCACAAGTCAGGGAAGTTAATACTTTCGTAGTTAAAGCCCCATTTCCTGCAAAATTTCTCTAAAAAAAGAATTACAAAAAAAAAAAAAATTCATATGCATTCTACTCTAATTATTATAAGCTATGGAAAAACATGGGCATAAATTTTACGCAAAAGAATAAAAAAAAATTATAAGAGACTATTTCTCAATTAGGAGATTACCGTTTTCTCGGCGACTTCTTCTTTACTATGTAAATTCAGAGTTGTAGATCACATCCGCTGACATGCTCTCGCTTTTTGTGTATACTTAATATACAATAGTACAGTCAATAAAGTGCACCCTCTTAGTTTTCGTACTTTGCATCCTGAAGCCTGAGATTTGGGTAATTGTCAAAATCTCGGTCAGAATCATTTTTTTAACCAAGTTTTCCACACTAGTACTAGCAACGGAAAATATCATGTCAACCTTTTTTATGTGCTGTGATAGCAGAACCACTGCTTACCTCGACTGAGTCGAGGTAAGGCTAGGCCTAGCCTAGCAGTGTTGGATAGGCTAATGTTTCCGGCGTCTACTATATTTCTTTGCAGACCGATCGCAAGATCAAACATAAAAAATTCATCCCCATTCATTTTTTGTGTGGAACACAAAAAAATCGAATTTCAGGAATTTCAGGAATATTTAAATTCAGTTAAACTAGCAGTTTTATATTATATTTATAAATTTTTATGACATATATAAATATCAGATTTTTCTTAAAAACCAAAATTTCGCCGAGAAGGGTGCTTTAACACTAGATTAGCATGCGTACTTATGCTGGATATGAACAGGAACGATCCAATGGGCAACAAATTCTGGATCTGTCCCTTTAAAAGTTAAATTTTTATTGTGATTGTCCAAAGATTTTCTGATGTTGATATTTTTAATCCTATATTTTTAAGAGGATCCTCAACATTTTGTAAATAATAATGATGAATGATTATTTTTTAATAAAGTGGCATAGATGATAATAACAATATCAATGTAATATCAACGTATTGTAATGTGTATTTGAGTAAATATCAATACTGAAATTAAATTAAATTATTTTGAATTTTTTACTGTGATATTGTCTTTTATATAAAATGACAGTGTACTGTACTACGTCTATAGTATTTGTTTTAGGCCTACTTGGGAAAGAAGCTACAATAGCTATCTATTTAATTGTTAAATATGCAACATTGTTGTTTGTATAATTTAGCAATTAGTATTAGTAACCTTACAATTGAATTTTACTGTATAATATTTTTTATGAGCAGTAGATACATATTTTGGCATAATTTGCATCTACCTGTTGACATTTGACCTTGATTTATGAAAATCTATTTTTATCTTTCTGTTTAATCAGATGGGCCATATGGTGTGTTTGCTGGTCACGATGCCAGCCGAGCCTTAGCCACATTTAGCCTAGAAAAGGAGTCTTTCAAAGATGAAGTAGACGACTTAACAGATCTCGATGAAGAAAAGATGGAAAGTGTTCGTGAATGGGAAATGCAGTTTTTTGGTAAATATTTTCTATTATTTTAGAAACAACTCTTGTAGATTATTCCGATCAGTTTAGGCACCAAAGCTTTTCAGATAAGGGTCCAATATAGGTCCAATGTCACCGGTGAGAGGGCTATGATTCAGAAAGAGAGTCTACACCCACCTCAGCCCCCCACCATGTTTGGAACAATTTGTAAAGAATAGACACATCCATCAGACACTGAAAATGATTTTTCAAACCGAGCATCCCCAACAAAATAATTGTCTTTCACCCCTGAAGCATTGTATGCCAGCCTGCTATCTAACCTACTTCTAGAGATGCCATCAATAACATTGCAAATTACTGGCTTGAGTTGGCAGTAAGCCATGCCTTTCATTTAACTTGGCCCTCAAACACTTGTTGTAGAACAAGTTTTTTTTTACTTATTTTCACTACTTTTTCAATTCAACACAACTCTATTTTATAATGATGCATTCTCATATTTCATTATTGTTTCTTTTGAATGGTTTAACAACAAATACCTATTGTTTTCCATTTCAGAAAAGTATGAATTTGTTGGTAAATTGTTGAAACCAAATGAGGAACCTACAGATTATTCTGACGAAGAAGCAAGTGAGACGGATAAGACAGAAGACAAATGTGAAAAAGATAAACAAATTTAAGAGAATTTACAAACTATTAAAACTAACTTCTTGTCCAAATATGGCAACAGACCTCACATATACAAAATTCTCAGAGGAGATTTAAGTCTGTTGATGGTCATTGAACCTCAATTACGTCTTCAACTGTTTGCCGCAGTACATGTATACCCACAATGCACTGCGGTAAGAAAATGTGCGATTTACAGTAATTATGCTAAAGGCTATCGTACCTCATGTGTAATCCTTGCACCAAGAATTGGGAATGGAAAAGCATCATTGAACTTTGACATGTGCATAGGTATACCACCTTCATCGTCAACCCATGCTGAAAGCAGTTGCGAAAGTTGGTTATCATTGTATATACATGTTATGTTTTTTTATTTTATAATTCGGTTCAATTTCTAGTAAAACTAAGTCATGTTAACTTTCCTGATATAATCGCTATGTGACACTATTCCCAACTTCAAAGCAGAGTACACACACACACTGCGTCAGGCGATGGTCGTCAGTGATTTTTTTTAGGTAGACCGCAACGCAGCAAGGGCGCATGCGACAACGATCTTCTTAGACTGCCACTGACAATCAGTAGATGATGTCGCATCGTCAAAACGTTCACACGCAGAGCAAAGTAGATATGTCGACTGACGCAGGGGTGATGTGGTACATGTTTGGCTCAACATTATTCCTTGTCTATTATTCGATAGTGGTTGTGCTATACCTTAAGTATTGATAAGCTAACGAAATTACATCCAAACAATAACATTTATAAACATAGCACCTGGTAACATGTGTGCATTAAAAGGCTACAGTAAGTGAGTTGATAAGGACAAAGATTGAGTATTTTTCAACCAATTACATAATAAGGTAAAATACACTAGATTCTATTTAGAATATTTTAAGTACTGTATAGGGTTTGCAGAGAACAGATACATTGAATAGTAGGTTAATTCTGTTTTAGTCATATAACCTGGTATTGTTGAAATATTGTTCCATGATGATAACCTGGCAATTATTATTAGTTAAATTTCATGAATAAGCATGATCGTTGATAGCACCCTCCATTGAAATTACCTCATCATGTACGGTAACAATGTTTTTTGGGGGTTTTTTTTCGTTTTTTAAATGTCTCCACATTGAAAGAAATTGAAAAAAACGAAAAAAAGTGTTTGAAAAACATTAAATAATGATTTCTTTTTGAAAAGAAAGAACAGAGGAGGTTAATTGGTTAACAGAACCCTAAACAAGGTCTGTTGACTGTAGAGGGTGATATGTTGACTCTAGATGGCGGTATGTAGTTACCTGCACAAGAAAACCTTTCTAAAAATAGTTAGAATCCCACCGTCCTCTAATGTTTTCTGTGCGTTGTCAAAAAGCTTTTTGAAGTGTTCTTAAATCTTTAACCTTTGACATCATGAGCGTCTTTTTCATCATGGCTGCCTTTTTCAACATGGCCACCTTTTTCATCAATGTACATATTACAGTACAGTAATTCTCTAAAGTTTATTTATTCCAATTTACAGCTACTGCTGTTTGGCTTGCCTAAAATTAAGGATATGAGTTTTTAATACAGAGATTATATTGCCATTTTGTAGAAATTTTTTTTTATATATAGTTTACACGGATTACTCATGACCAATTAACTATGACTGTATGTTTACTAAATTATTAATTTTTAAAATTTTACTCTACAACTCTAATGATGTTATGTTACTGTATTTAATTATTATTTCAGATTTACAAGGTAAATGACAAATTAGATAAGTGGCCCTTACGGTAAGAAGATAATGAGATAAGCGGCCCATTGAATTCTTGATCCATGAAAAATGACAAGATACATTATGCAACTCGTGCAAAATAATATAAGTGACCGGTTTTGTTTAATGGCCCTTGAGATAAGTGGCATACGAGATAAATGGCTCATAAGATTAGTTGCTCATGAGACAAGTGGCCCATGAGATAAGTTCAGTATGGAGCTTATGAGGTATATGTCACCAATAAATTGCATATGAGGTCATAGTTCTTTAGACAAGGCCCATGAGATACGTGGCATATGAGATGCATGGCCCAATAATGGTTTGGCCTATGAGATTCAAGCAATGTGTGAGATCCAGAGAGAAATGTAAATCTAATGATGAGTTGGTAGTCTGTAGCCATACAGCATTTTTTGCATTGGTTTCTGCATTTTTGAAAGGAAAATTTAGTCGGGGCTTAACTTTATACTTAAGCTGACTGAACAGGCTGTGGTGGTATCGGTCTTATTGGTTAATATTGTCTAAAGTCAATTTAGGCGACAAGTCTAAATCAATTATTTGTTGTCACTAAAGATCGTTCTCGCATTTGTAAAGCACACATGTTTAAATAGCAAAGAGTCTTGTGGTTTTCTCTCGTCACTAAGATTTTCTCACATTTTAAATGCATTACTTTTTTAAAATTGCAGAGCCTTCTTGTTTTCTCTATCTAAAGGTGTAATTTCTAAAATGGTAGATGAAAATATCCCAAAACACATCACTGAAATTCTCTTCTGACAATTTTTTCCCGTTCAGCATACACCATATCTGGAGCGAACATCCTACTCTAGTTGCGTCAAATCAGTTCTTGAAGATGTAGACCTTTCCTCTCATTCGTCCTTGTATTCCCCTCCCCTCCCCTGCCTCCTTCCCCCTCTTATACTTTTAGAGTCCTTAGGTGGTTGTCTTTATGTACCAGAACCCTCATTAAATATGATTTAAGTAACAAAATAATAATATACTTGGCATGTATAGAATTTACCTTTATTTAATTGATTGATTATCATACTTCATTGATAATTTACTCAATGGATGATTGTGATTTGAAAAGCACACTTTTTTTTTTGCAAATTTTTAGCCCAAGGCAAATAATGTTATCATAATTTTCACACAGGTGACTTTTATAATTGTAATTTTATTCTAAAATCAATTATAATTGATATTTATAACTTTTGTAAAGAAATGGATGATTGATTGTTTTATTTATTTTATATAATATGTTTGATCGGATAATACATGGTGAGATTACGAATATTTGGAAAATTAAGTACTCTACGTGGTATAGTACTAAGTTGGTGCTCAAGTTAATGAGATAATTATTTTTGGGTTTAAGATGTTTAACGAAAAATAATCAAATATTTTTAACATTATTAATTTGTTTATCACTATAAATGTTATTGATTTATTAATGAAAACAAAACTATAAATAATAATTAACCAAAAAATATAAACTGCACAGAGACAATTAAACATAGTATGGTTTCTAAAACCTGGTTTTCATAGATTCGCTACACAGTTGCTATAGCCTTTTTACTGCAATCCATGCACTGCGTAAATGTCCCCGGCGCAATCAGGAACGCTTCTTGATTCAATTGACCAACATGCGTCGCCAAAGGGGTCAGCGATATCGTGTAGCGATTTATGGTAACCAGGCTTAAGGTTTATGATTATCAACTCGAGTGTTTGATGTACAGCACTGTATCTAAGATATCCTGACATACAGACATTACTGTATAATTGCAAGTAGATCCCATTCCAACCACACCCCTTCCGCCTGATTCTTGAAGCATAAAGCTTGGTTTCCTTATAATCACAACCAAGCTTTCGGTGAAACTTGGTTGCTGATTGGTCGGTCGAATTGGGGAGCCTCCCCGATTGTGTCGGGGATTGCTACGCAGTACATAGATTGCACTGAAAACATGTAGCGACAGGGCAGTGATTTTAAGAAAACCAGGCTTGATGCTGATTGGTCGGTCGAATCGGAGAGCCTTCCCGATTGCATCAGGGACTGGTATGCTGTACAACGATTGGACTGAAAACACTTTAGTGACAGTGTAGCGATTTAAAAAAAAAAACAGGCTTTAACTGTGTGCCCATCAGACTTTTGACATATGTTTGTTTGGATTTCTTCCAGTGTCAGGGATTCTTCTCTGTGAATTTTCCCTCCCCTACCTCACTGTACGGTACATAGCATTTATAGCGAACTCTGCACTATTCCAGTCCGGAATTCTAGATGGCGGAGGGGAGCAATTCTGTATGGATTTGGGGATCGGAGGGAAAATTCACAGGGCCAAAGCGGTAGAGGCTATTAGGTTTGAAATTCTCATCTTTTTATTGATTTATGTTATTCATGAGATTGTACAGTAATCAATCTTATTTGTAGTCATAAGAGTTCGGGGAGGGCGCCAGTGGGGCCATTGGCCACCCGTCAAGGAGAATACAAACACATTTCATCGAAATTTCTATGTACAGTATTTTTACAGATTGTTATATTTTAAAATCAATTTCAAATACCTAAATTTTCGTGCGTCTTTCCAGGGCTTCCCCTTCTTGACCGGATCCCTCTGGATGTTTCTGAGCTGCATCCCTGACCACTCAAGTGCGCTCCGTCGGGACTACTCCCTCTCCTTTTGGCAAGTCATGGCGTCACCACTGGTATAACTGTAATTGTATTTTTGACAATGATTTTTGTAAGGCGTTGTTTTAGTGCTATACGAAGAATAGCTTTCTTCTGCACTTTAATTTACAATAATTCTTGCATTGCTTCATAGAAAAAAATAAATGTATGTGAAACTTCGTTACGTATATATTGTTTACTTTTTTAATCAGTCTGCTGACCTACCGTTAATTCTTAATTCATTACTTTTTTCTTTCACATCATTTGATCTTTACCAATACTGTTCAAAATAACGTGTGTCTATCATTACAAAAACGATAAGCATAAATGCTAACGTCATCCGTTACGTCATTTGGTCTATCTTCATTGATTTCCCGTCGTTAGTTGTCTGTGACGGTGCTATATCGGCGGGCTTCTACGAGAATTTAAGTGAAAAAACGGATGGGATTAATTTTTAACATACTTTCAGGCTGAGAAAGACGATGATTTTCAAATAATTGGGAAACGATAAAATTAACTTAATAATAATGGTAATAATAACACTTCTGTAGCGCCTGTAAAATACCGTAAAACAAAAAAATTATATTTCTAAAGTCAAATGATATAGCTAATTTAAAAAGCACTTGAACAGGCCCCATGGTAATCATCGTCAGGCTGTAAACGTCCGAAAAATAAAATGTTTTTTTTTTCTCAAAAATAAATGATGAAAACGAAGGAAGTATGAGATTTATATTGTCGATGATAATGACGATGTAGGCCTATTAATATAAAAATTATAATGAACGTATTTTTAGATGCATCTATGGTTTGCTAATAGCACTTATGGTTTTATATGATCCCGTCATGGTGTTACCGAGAAAACTGTTCAAAAACATCTGAGAATGGTATAGGAGGGATAAAACAAAGGATTTGTCGCATTATAGCTACAAATCAAAGTGCAGTTTAAACATAGCCACGGCAGAAGCTGAGAAAACAAGGCTCATAATCGAATCAGGTTTCTGAAATCAGTCTGTCGACCTCTATATATACCACCGCGGAACAACGTTTGACCCGGAAGTTAAATTTGCATGTTGACGATAAACTCAGCACATGTATTTTTGTTGATGGATGATGAAGTTTATTTCTTGATTGTTTGTACTAAGTAGGCTTAGTAAAGTGAAGTTTTATTACAACCAGAGTTTTATTAAATCATGTACCTGTAATAGGTAAGCACTAATAGTCAGAAATTGCAGTAATAATGCCAAGGAAGAGTACTAAAATCCTAGGCCCACCTGCCGACACTTCGCCTCCAGCCGAAAATAGGCCTCCTACTACACACGGCGGAGCTGGAGTCGGAGAAGATAGTGACAGTAATGATGATGACTTAGGCCTAGACTTAAGCGGAAAGAAAGAAAGCGTCTCAATCCCTCTTATGTTGCCAACTAAACGTAGGAAGACCACCAAAGCATTGGGGGAAGATGAATCAGAAAGAAGGGCGGAGCGAATGTTGGAAAAAGTAGTATTTGGAGGAGAGCAAGCAATGTTAGATTTATTTGATAAATCTGAAACCAAAGAAGTCATTGATGAGGTAATTATATATTAACTAATCAACATCTTGAAATATTGACATACGCCTTTTTCACGAATCGGTAGACATCTTGAAGTGATGACAAACATTGCGAATCAGCGGTGCGTAACCAACAGAAATAAGATAAGCTTTTGGGCGGATTTTTTGACATCATGTTATTTAAAAAATCATAACTCTATAACGGGGCGTCGTATCCAAAAAAAATTTCCAGCAAAATGTTCTTAAAAGACTAGTCTACGCCACTATAGTCCGGTGGCTTATGTCATCCCGTGGGAATTTCGTGATCATTTTGTTTTTGTTTTTTAATTATATACTTTGAAGTATGCTGAATCGAATAAAATGAGTCGCCAATTTTTTTACGCTCATCTTCATATGCAAATTAGCTGAAATATGCAAATTAGGTCTGAAAATGTAGGGTACTTATATCCTGTCTCTTATACACATCTAGATGTGTATAAGAGACAGGTTGTAACCAACCTCTATTTCAAACGTTTACCGACGTCGGGCCAATAGCGTTCTGTGACGTTGAGACA